TGAGAGAAATTTAACTGGTTCTGCAATTCTGCACTCTTTGCAGATCTTGGGGTTTGTCTATCAGATGGAGAGGAGGTGGGTCTCGGTGATTTTTGCTCAACCACTGGCTTTGAGTTCACATATTCCGGTGATCGTTCCACAGAGAGACAATAATTTGGCAAGGGAGATGGTGATTCTGATTCTGAATTCGGTAGCTCTTTCTCTAAAACTGAATTCTTTTCCTTTGATTCAGCCATTTTTTCTTGGCTTTTTCATTTTCTTTCGCCTTACTTTCTCCTCCCTTTGCGTCCACCGTCAGCACCGCGAACGCCGAAACGCCCTCGTCGAAAGTCGACCAGGGCAGATCCACCAAATTTAGAGAGTCCACAACATCAACCGACACCTTCTTGGGAGTATGGTGGATTTTCTTGAAGCAACTTTGCAGCATCACATTTTCCCTCGAACAATTTTCTCTACCCAAGATTGCAGCGTTGTTGGGAGCATGGTGCATGGTTCTTTGATTCAACGAAGATTGTGTTGCTCTTGCTGTCAAGGCATCAGTACCCAGAAGTGCAGCGTGAATTTGATGCAATAAATTCTTGATATTGAAGAACAAAGCTTGATCTTCAATGAGACCTTGCTCCATTCGCGTTAGCATCTTGAACGAAAAGATTGGTGTGTTCAAAAATGAAAAGATTTAGGGATTGTGGAGATGCAGACTCCTACGAATCCATGATGTAGAATGAAAGCACCAATGTTAAGGGACGCGAACCCTTAAACGATCTCTCAGTTAACAGAACAGAGAAAACAAAGAAGAACAAGGAAAAGGAACGAAAACAAACTTGTATATTTCTGAATGAATTGTATCAGTTACAATAGTTGTCCTTTTATTACAAAGACAGCAAACTATGAATGTCCTAACCCCTGCCACGTCACATTTATAATAGCTATATCAGTGACTACAATATTAGTCTATTAACCTTCTATTCTTATTCTAATACACTCACTGTAAGTAACCCCAAGGCTTGACGTACAATTAATATCATGTACAATTAATAGCTACTTACACGTAACACTCACTAATTAATTTTTTATACAGAAAATCATTTCTACAGTTGAAGCAGAACACTATTAGTAATACATAGTAATACATAGTGTCATATATCATTCTATTATATATGACACAAACTGTAGGCTGATTAAGGGAAATAAGCCCGTTACCACCTAAATCGATGGTTGTTGATAATTCACTAATTAATTAGAATAAATTTTCTTCACTCATGATATCATTAACATTAACAACATAACTCCAACATAATTCTTCCTAATGGCATATAAGTTGTTGAGATATATAGTCTCACATTGGTTGTATGTGCAACTAATGTGGAGCTTATAAGATCTTGAACACTCTCACCCTTTGAGCTAGCTTTTGGGGTGGTGTATCCCAAGGTTCTTTACATGGTATCAGAGCTTAAGCTTGAGATATATAAAACCATTAATGTAGCCTCACCCAATAGCTTAAGCTTTTGGGTTGAATTAGTTCTTTACATGGTATCAGAGCTTGAGCCCTCACCGCCTCCCATTTTAAAGTGGAATTAAAATAAAAAAAAGCACAAAAGATAAACCAAAAATTGAGTCTGTGCAATTCCACGCTCGCTTCTAGCCCAAAGGGCTCTTGCGTGAGGGGGCGTGTTGAGATATATAGTCTCACATTGGTTATATGGTGCAACTAATGTTGAGTTTATAAGGCCTTGAACACTCCCACCCTTTGAGCTAGTTTTTGGGGTGGTGTATCCCAAGGTTCTTTACATAAGTCACAAATATTCTTCATAAAACTTAAACTATCCAAATGTCACATATTAAGTTTTGTTAATTTCAAATTATTATTGCTTTTACTCAACAAGATGTTGATGTTAGGGACTAAAATAATATAGGTTGATTATATGGGGAGAGAACATATATTCAATTTAGTTCCATAGCTGGCTCATAGAGTTGAAGTTTGTGAGGAAACCCAGAACCGACTCGCCTTAAAGAGATCATTAAAATCGGTACAAAATAAAAATGTTACCAGATGATGATAGCTTAATTGGCACCAGAAAACTGAGCAGGTGGAGTGAGAGCATGTATTCGATTCTCTCCAATATCGTCTTTGGAAAGAGTTTAAAGCCTTAATTTCGAGACCCGCTCCAAATCAAACTAGTCGCAAAGTAATAAACTGATTGAAATATTAAAAAAAACAAAACAAAACTAAACAAATGTTAGACTGGAAGGCAATAATTTTGGGTTGGGTTGTGTCTTAAATATTTGGTCAAATTGATGCCGCTACCCCATCGTTGTGATTAATCATCGTTTGGTAATTTGGCTTTAGTATGCTAACATCTTCACCCTAGAAATTATAATGTTGAAGTGATCTTTTTGACTTAATTAGGATTTGTTGCAAGACTGTCATACGTTAGGTCTTAAAAAACAAGTGAACCGTTAACTTCAAATTATTGTTTTTATTCTAACAAGATGTTGGGGACTAAAATAACAAATGTAAGACGTGAAGATAATAATTCTGCGTTGGATTATGCCTTAAATATTTGGTCCAATTGATGCTGCTACCCCGTCGTTGTGATTAATCATCGTTTGGTAATTTGGCTTTATTATGCTAACATCTTCTCCTACAAAATAAGAGGAGGAATATAATATTATACTATGGATGGCAATTCAAGTTGACAAACATAAATTTCACACGAGTACAATTACATTAAACATAAACATGACATAAAAGTTATAAGTACAATTACAATTATAAATTTATAAGGTTAAAACTACAGTCAAATTTACGTTGGCGGGTTAACACGTGACAAGATACAAATTTTTACTTGTCATATAGAATATGAATTTAAATATGAATTAACTCTAACATTAACTTTTATATCGTGTTTGTATGATACCTGCCTATCACGTCAAGAATTATCACCCCTATATTACACGGATAAGTGAACTTGTGAAATAAATGGATTTGTTGAGAGTGCCTTAGACATTAGGGCCTTAATTTAAGAACAAGTGCTAGACGTAAACTCACTAATTTTGGTTTGAATAATGCCTTAGAAATTTGGTCAGATCGATGCTGCTACCCTACCACAGCGATCAATCATTTGGTAATTTGGCTTTATTATACCTTTTACCTATAAATAAATGGAGGAATAGAATGTACTGTTGAATTGAGGCTGTTATTATGTGCAGTATTAATCAGAGTAGTAACTTTGTTGTGCTGCATGCCTAAAATCCAACCTTAAATTGCAATTTAATTCATAAGTCTAACCTACTTACCAGCGTATTTAAAAGTGAATTGACTTTAGCCAGGTTTAATTACCAACTTCACTCAGGATATTATTTACTTAACGTCCTATCTATGTAATCCATGTATCGAGATATTCAATACTTGATGCAATTCAAAATGTAGGAAAAATCTGTGCCAAAAAAAAAAAATGTATGAAAAATGATGTGGTTCTCATATTGGTGGTATAAGCTCAAAGAGTAGTTTATAAATTACAGCTTTTTAGAGTAGCGTGTTCCACAAGTTATATATCACTAAAAAAAATATCACTTCGACATTAATATCATTTAGTAAAAGGAAAAAGCAGAAGCAAAGTTACCAGAAATTCTTTTGTTACATCAGCGAGAGAAAAGCATAAAAAAGCAGTAGTATCCTTTTTCTTATGAGATAATTATCAAGCATAAAAGAAGAGAAAGAAATAAAGGAAGAAAGGAATCTAATTTTTACCTTGCAGATCATAGCAAAGGCGAATGAAATGGTGTAGTGCATCTAGGTTTTTGTGTGATCGTAAAATTCTTCTTAAATTAAAAGGAAAATTTCATAAAACAGTAGTAAGACCTGCAATGCTTTATGGAGCTGAATGCTGGCTAGCACATAGGCAACATGAGCATAAAATGGGAGTAGCAGAGATGAGGAGGATGTTAAGGTGAATGTGTGGTTATACGAGGATGGATAAGATAAGATAAGAAATGAAGATATTCGACGAAAGGTGGGAGTACTACCGGTGGCTGAGAAGATGAGAGAACATAGATTGAGGTGGTTTTGACACGTAATGAGAAGGCCCCTGGATGCTCCCGTAAGAACAGAAGTTTGTTACCAAGAGCTCAACACAATAAGAGATAGAGGTAGACCGAAACTTACTTGGGGAAAGGTAGTAAAACAAGATTTAATAGAGTGAGATATAGATTGGCGGACGGTATGTCTTAGAACGAAATGGAGAAAAGCTATAAGCATGGTGGAGGGTTAGACCCGTTGTTATTCCTATGTTCCAGATGCATTTTTAGTCTTTTTTCCCTTCATTTCCTCCTCTTCTTCTTTTCACTTTCTTTTTTATTTTTATTTATTTATATATATATTATTATTCTATTTATTTATTTTTATTTTTACTTTTATGTTTCTTTTTTTTCAATTTTTTTGTATCTTTCATTTGGATTCATCTACTACCGATCCCAATTAATTTGAGATAAAAATATTGTTGATGTTGATGTTGATGTTGAGTGAATAACTTCACTTTAACAGTATACTAGAGATTTTTATTAAGGCAAAGTTCTAACTAGTTACAACATGAGTTGTTATTATGCTTAATTTTAATCATTATCTTTATTTTTTATAATACTAATTATAATTAACGAATGTATGAATAATTAGATACAATAATAATAACTTTGATAAATAAGCAATAAGTATATGGTAACAAGGTAGAGGGAAAGATATGAATGCCAATTGGGAACCACTGGCATAGAGGGACCAACATCAACATCCATGGAAAGAGCATCATCATTCATCATGGGACACAGTTAACAAGGTAACTAAACAAACAACCACCTTGGATGGAGTGTGTGTGTGTGTGTTTTTATTTTTTTTCATGAATCATCATGATAATTGGGTGGGTCCCACTGTCCCTAACCCCCAAGTAGTTTAGGACTGTAGTGGGGTCATAGTATTAGCAGAACCAGCTGGTCTTTCTCTCATATTTTCTTATCATTGAGAGCCCTTGTCCCTTGCCAAGATCTGATTGCATTTCCCTACTTTACAGGGTAGATAGTGGAAGCGTAATCTTCAAGTTCTTATCTTTTTGTTCCTTTTTGTTGAGGGGACATAGGCCCAGAAGAACTAACAAGATATTTGAGATCTGTCTCTTTGGTTTCAGTTCAGGTACTCCCATTTTTTTTCATCTTCATTTGACCCTCTTTTTTATTTTTTTGAATTCCATTCTTTTATTTAATTTTTTTTTTGCTATTCTGCACTTTCCCGTTTCTTATTTTCGATGTAGTTATCTGTTAAGGCTCTCTTCAGTTGGCTAAATGTTGTTGGGTCTGTTCAAAGTTGTCTCAATTTCTTTCCTTTTTTTTGTTTGGTGAAAATTCTCGAAGTTTCAGCTTCTGGGTGTCGCCTAATTTGGCTCTAACTGCTAATTTAAGTGGATGAATCTACATTCTGTGTGTTACTTTGCAGTGAAAATGCGAAAAGGAAGATACTTCAGATGTGCATATTGTTGGATTCAATACCATTTGGATAATGAGGATTAGAAAACTACGGTTTTTCAGATGTTATTTAGATTTCTTTATTAATACGAGATTGATAGGTATTTAAGGATTATGATTTTGAATAGCTAATTAGTTGAGTTGACTTTTCTCTCTTTTTCTCCATTTCATTGTTGATGAATTTCTCTAACAGAGGCTTATTCCTTTTTCTTTTTTTTTGATAAAAAAAGGAGCAAAGAGCCTTGCATAATTTATGAAATTCTTTCCTTTTGAGTATCAAATTTCACAGTTCTAATGGCATTTTACAATATCAGCAGATGCCATTGGATTTTCTATTCAAAGGCAAAGCTGAATCTTTGAATTATTTTGGGTTGTGAGGGATGAGATCTTAAAATTTACATATATTCTGTGTAAAGGGTCCAATTGAGGAATGCCAAGATAAAATGGGGAGGAAGGGAAATTGGTTTTCTAGTGTGAAGAAAGCTCTCAGCCCTGAGTCAAAGGACAAGAAAGACCAGGTTTGGATAAGCTTTATATATAATCTGTCTCAGCTATTTGGGATGTATCTTATAGTTACTAGGAACTGCTTTTGCAGAAATCAAGTGGATCAAAGAAGAAATGGTTTGGGAAGCAAAAATTGCAGACTTCAGACTCACACTTGGAAACTGATAAAACACCTCCTCTTCCTCCACCTGAGGAGATTATTGTAACTCATGTTGAGAATGAAAACAGTCATGATCATGTTGAAGTTGCAACTGCAGTGGATGTTGAGGAACCTGTTCCTGCTGTTCAGACAGAAGCTGCTGCTGAGGTTCAAGCCACTACAATTGTTCAGTTTGCCAGTAAACCAAACGATCAAGTGGCAGCAACCAAGATTCAAACAGCTTTTCGGGGATACTTGGTATGCTTTTTGCAATTTTTGTTTAAACTAAATTATTCCATTCATCTATTTTTTTCAGCCTCCCTCTTATTACCATCTGTTGAAAGTTTTTACTACAAGTGAAAAACTCAGTTACAATAATGATATGGCACTTTCTTGTTTGCTGTACACTAACAGTGGGTCAAATGTAAACTCTCTTTAAATTTGGTTCCATACAAGAAAATTATACATTTATGGAATGTCCTATTTAATTACACTATGTTATAAGACCATCAATAATTGCTGCAAAAGAAAGCTTCTTCATTCAATGATAAACTACTTTCAAGCTGAACCTTTTTTTTTTAAATCACTTAGGCAAGAAGAGCATTGAAGGCTTTAAGGGGGTTGGTCAGGTTGAAGTCGTTGATGGAAGGACCAGTGGTAAAACGTCAAGCCATTAGTACCCTACGCTCTATGCAGACTTTAGCTCATGTGCAATCTCAGATTCGTTCTAGGAGGCTCAGGATGTTAGAGGATAATCAAGCTCTTCAAAAACAGCTCTTGCAGAAGCACACAAAAGAGCTAGAGAGCATGCGGGTCTCTGGGTTTCATTTCCCTCATATCTTTCAAAATGCTGATATATTGACATGGAGATACTATTTATTTGAGTTTTAGCATGTGGATTTTGGAATGCTTTTAACTTGTTTCAAATTCTCATAGCAGATTGGGGAGGAATGGGATGACAGCCTACAATCAAAAGAACAAATTGAAGCCAAGTTACTAAGCAAGTATGAGGCTACTGTGAGAAGAGAAAGAGCAATGGCTTATTCATTCTCTCACCAGGTTTTCTATTCTCTTATAAATTCACATTTGTTAGGATAGTGAAACAAAGAAATGAGAAAAGGATATGGATGAAATTTTAGATGAACTGGAAGATCAGAGGAAAATTGACTTAGTCTGTTAGATTATAATAGTATACATAACTAAAATAAGAACCCCAAGCATTAATGTTATGTTGTTATTATATTAATTTATTCTTTGTTTCTTCATCTCTTGAAGTTGTTCTCATTTCATTTAAAACCTAGGCTTGATATATTTATGCATCCTTGTCTATCTTGTCTATCTTCAGAACTATATCCTCTGCTTAAACCTCTTCAGTCTTGGCTCTCTCATTGCCACCGTGATTCCCTTTCCCTTTCTTGTAGTGTAACGAAGTTACAGTGGATCAAAACTTTTTTGGTTAGACATTACTCTCTCTTTTTTAAGGGGGTAAAGCATTGTTTTTGAGACTTACAGAAAGTGGAAGCTGGAATCATTTCTTTCCTGTGACCTCTTTCTGATCTGGACCTAGTATGAACCAGCATTGCTGAACAACAAACACTACCATGAGAGTTCATTGCTGAATAACAAATATCTAACACTACTTGACACTTGATCTAGTTGAGTTTCTTTTCTTTTCTGCCCTGCCCACTTCCCCTTCCCCACCTAAAAAAGAAATAGAAAAGAGATTTTTGTTACAACAATTATTTGTTTGATTCAGATGTGATGTAAATCCTCTAGTCTACTTTAGTTCGTGGAAGACAAAGACAATCATTAGTTGTCAGAATTCTGACAACAAATGTCTAATGAGGAAGATCTAAGACTGTATATGCTGTTTATGAATTTTCGAACTGGATTATTTTGTTAAGCTTCTTCTCATATAAGCTTAGCAAGTTAGCAACCTGAGCTGTTCATCTACAATGATGCCAAGATATCCTGTAGTGTTGAAATTTCTGTGACATGATTCTGAGTTTGATAGAGAGTAAATAGTTTCATGTGATTGCAAAATATATCTGGAGAGCATGGGATTTACCATATATGATCTCTTTCTCCCCCTTCATTTTATGCTCTTTACTGGGAAAGAGCAATGGCGGAACAAGAATTCTGTCTAGGAGACGAAGTTTAAGAGCGGTAAAAGAACTTAAGGGAACATGTGAAAAATTAGCATGCTTCCTTCACATTTCAGTGGAGGGGAGGGGGTCATCACCTAGCATAGCCCTCCCCTGGCTCTCCATTGGGAGAGAATGTAGGAATTTGGCACATTTAGCTAGATCATTTCCAAGATGAAATGAAGCTTATGTCTGTAGTTGCAATTGAATATAACTTTTATGAACTCACGATCTCATGTTTTCCACGCAAAGAAGGCCACTTAGGCTACTTACATAATCCTATCCTATGATATGCTTGGTGAAGTTTCAACATAACTTCTTGCTTGTTTAAGGGAGTATTTGGTTACCTGATAAATGATTAGCAAACTCTGCCTATGATATAATACATGGCTACTAGTTTGAGCTCCTTGATATTTTGAACAAATTAAGTTGAGAGTTTGATCTTAAATAAATATATATATGGACAGCAAAACTCGAAGAATCCATCGAGATCGATGAATCCAATGTTCATGGATCCAACCAATCCTGCCTGGGGTTGGAGCTGGTTGGAACGATGGATGGCAGCCCGGCCATGGGAGAGCCCTAACATGATGGAGAAAGAGAAGAATGACCATTCATCTGTAAAAAGTTCAGGCCGCGGCATTACCAGTGCTGAAATCAGCAAATCATTTGCTCGTTTTCAACTCAATTCTGAAAAGCATTCTCCAACAGCCAGCCAAAATCCAGGCTCACCTAACTTTCAGTCTCATTCAAATCCTCCCAAGCCAGCAGCTTCAGCTTCTGCAACAGTTTCTAAGAAATTGAAGAAGGGTAGCCCAAAGGACAGCTTGGTTATGGATGATGACACCAAAAGCATGGTAAGCGTGCAATCAGACCGGCTGCGGAGGCACTCCATTGCTGGATCAACTGTGGGAGATGATGAAAGCCTAGCAAACTCTCCAGCACTTCCAAGTTATATGGTGCCAACTAAATCTGCAAAAGCTAAGTCCAAGATGCAAAGTCCATTAGCCTCAGAGAATAAGACCCCAGAAAAGGGGTCCTTTGGGAGTGCAAAGAAAAGGCTCTCTTTCCCAGCTTCCCCTGCCAGACCAAGACGGCATTCAGGTCCACCAAAGGTAGAAAGCAGCTTAAATGCTGAAATCACTGTGGGCAATGGTGTGGTTGGTTGAAATATCATGAAAGAAATAAGACAAAAAGTTCATTTGAAGTGTCCATTTATTTATTTGTTTATCCGAATGTGTATCTTGTCATTTCTTGGAGGCTATTGATTTGGGTGTAAAAACTGCTTTTTACTTACTACATTTATCTATTTGTATTTTCATGTATTTAATCACAATTTGCCTAGAGGGGATGAAAGGTGGTTCATGATAGTATTATAATAAAAGAACAAGTCAGCTGTCAGAATCCTTTCGGAGCTTCCACATTTGGGATGATTGGTTCTTTATTTGTGATATAAAATGTATATTTAATTTCTCTGTCTCGTTTCTTTGATGTTACTATGTTTTGGTAAGCTACGATATTTTTGTTGTTTATGGCTTGGTTGATGAGGGAATTTGTGAACAAACTAAGTAAAATTGTGATTTATAATAAAGACTGAGCATTGATTCACACAACCAAATGATGGTCTTCAATGTTTTCTATTGATTTTTAATCAAGGGTGCTATCTTGTAACTTGCAAAATGAAAATTAAGGTAGATTATGCTAACCTGTTGGCACAAGTTCAGGAACAATTTTTATCGATGCAATGCAAAAGCAAGACTCAAAACAAATATTACCTTGATATTTGCCAGATACTCAATAGAGAAATTAAAAAAATAAAAATAAATTACCTTATAATTATGATTAGCCTCACCGAACATGTTTACTTTTAATTCATTTCAATCTCAGGTTTGGAGGAGCTTATTGCCTTACCTATCGGCTTTTTGACCCTTTTGCCCTTCATTAATTAATTAATAACCAATTTGCCCCTGATCAAGAACTATCCACCAACCTGTCCCTTTTAGTCGACTACCTTGCTGTTCTAGTCGAGCAAATGGTCAATCTTCAGAAAGTGGACTACCGCAAATTTAGTCGACTAAAAAATCATCTTAATCGACTACATTTTTGGGATATTTAGTCGACTAAGTAACGATATTTAGTCGACTAAATATCGACGGATTTGTTTTTTAAAAACCCCCCATTCGGCAGAGGGGGAGTAGGATGACCTAATCGACTAAGGAGGCGGCCCAAACCCCAAATCCGCAGGAGCAGCTGAAGAACGCCCCAAACCCTTCCCTTAGGCGTGTGGATTGCCCCCAAATTTGGTCCAAATCGTGAAATCTGAAGGATAGGTAAGGTTTCTTAACTTGCATTGTGCTTTAGGTTTAGGAATTTTTTGTATTTGTTTGTTGTCCGAATTTGTGAACTCTAATCAAAGCGTTTGTTGTAGGTTTGTAACCCTAATCTACTAAGGTTTATTTTTTTGCATTGTGTGAATTTTTTTGTTTGAAAAGTTTGTATGTGACAAAAGTTTGCTTTTGGTTTACAGCGCTTATGTTGCAAGTTTCCATTACCATCATGACATGTTTCATATAGTTAAATGCTGACATGTTTCATTGTAGGTACCCTAAACAAATGACGAGCCGCAGAAGACCAAGCGATGAGGGCAATGAGTCACTTGAGAGACGCACCAAGCATAGGCAAGAGCGGCCTTCTTCGTCAAGGCGACAAGACGAAGAGCCTGATACTGTTGACCTCCCGTATGGGTATCTGTTTGAGGACGACCCTGCCGTCCACGCTTCATTCGTACGTGACCATTTGAACCGGCCGTTATGTGCACCAAAATCTTTGGATACAGCCTTTTTTGATAAGGAGGGATTTGAAATTGTGGGGGTGTTGGAGGCGGCACATCTGAGGGTGTTGGCCGAGACCCTATGTCCGTATTCAGAGCTTATGGTGCGGGCCTTCTACCATAACCTCAGCTACGTACAGGGCGAGCTGAGGTCGAGGGTCTGTGGAATAGAGATCATCATGACGGCACCTGCATGGTTGGAGATACTCGGCTATGATTTTGACTCTTCTCAGACTGTGGTGTATGACGCTGATAGTGGTGTAGTACTTCCAGGATATGTACGAGAGGATGCCGTGCAGGAGCAGAGAAGAGTCCGTGGGGAACACTTGCACTATACGGTGGGTTTGCTTTCTGTGGAGTCCCGTATACTACACTATGTCCTCACCCACGTTCTGTTTCCGCGATCTTTTAATCATTCCAGGGTGTTGGAACATGACATTCCCATTATGTGGGCTATCCGACATGCCCAGATGGTGAACTGGAGGCACTATATCTGTTGGTTTATGTTTAAGGCCAAACATAAGGGTCATCTTCCATACGCCTGTCTGGTACAGAGGATATTGGTTCACTTTGGTGTTCCCATGGAGACTGAGCTGTTGAAGAAGACCACGGGCTATAATTGCAAGTTCGGAAAGCGTCTATTGGAGCAGTGCAAGATTACTAAGAACACGAGATCGGGTGTGTGGGAGTTTAGTGGTATGCCCCAGGTTGAGGTTCCTTATGTTGCCCCAGATGACCATATTGTTGAGCCAGATGTGGAGGAGGAGGAGGAGGAGGAGGATGTGGCTGAGGTTGAGGAGATAGCTGAACCTGAAGGTGGATTTTCACTGTGTGATGTCATGAAGGGCATAAATGCAATGACAAAGAAGATAGGAAAGATGGCGCTGGCACATAAAAAATGGAGAAAGAAAGGGAATGAAAGGTTTAGACACATACAGGGAAGGTTTAAGGGTGTGGAAGACAGGCTTGCTCGTCTGGAGCTTGCAAGAGGTGGTCAGGTAGCTGAGGCAGTAGGGGATGGGGGTCATGTGTCAGATGAGGACGACTCGGAGACGGACACAGACGGGGATGACGACTAGATTTAGGGTGTACATCATGTTATTATGTTTTGTTCATGTATTTCCTTTAAGTCGTTGATGTAATGTAACTTTTTTTAATGAATGCAGAATTGTTATGTTTTTTGGATCTATGTTATGTTGTGTAATGAATTTAATTCCATTTCAATATTGTATAACTTATGAATGGAACCTTTTTAGCAATTTGATCATCACGGCACAAAACAATATTGAACAGGTCACATTCGTCCATAACACATCACAGCAAATCAGTACATGTGTTTAAAAAGGCTACATCTTGTATTGTTAACCGTAAACAAACGTTATGACAACATACGACTTGGTTTTAGGAATTTAATGTCCACATGGGTTTTTTGACTCGGAAATTATGCTCCCTAAGTCACACTCCCTTGGTGGATCAGTGTAGAGTGGAAACCTAGGGCAAAAAACATGTGTAATTCGGATTTGGGGTCCTAAACCAACAATTTAGTCGATTAAGTCGATTAAACCAGTACAGGTTAATCGACTAAATTGTTGGTTTAGGACCCCAAATCCGAATTACACATGTTTTTTGCCCTAGGTTCCCACTCTACACTGATCCACTAAGGGAGTGTGACTTAGGGAGCATAATTTCCGAGTCAAAAAACTAAAATGAGTCAAATACAAATATCATGACATCAAATACAAACATAGCACCGTCATTACATTCAAATACAAACATCATGACATCAAATACAAACATAGCACCGTCATGACATTCAAATACAAACATCATGAGATCAAATACAAACATAGCACCGTCATTACATTCAAATACAAACATCATGACATCAAATACAAGCATATAAAACCATAAATGCCTATAATGTTAAACCATCAAAACATTAAGCCCCTCCTCTGCTTCCTCCGCAATTCATCTTGTATTGGGAATCTTCATAGGACATGTACGTTTGTTGTGACCAATTTGCTTACACAGGCTACATCTACTCTGACTGCTTGTCGGTTGAGACTCAACCCAATCCATCTCATTCTGTATCCTTGACGATTTGGGTCTTCCTTGTGCACGTACCAAAGATGCATTTGGGATAATGGTTGGGCCATCAATTTGTGGAATCAGCAACTCATTGCCCATTGGATACCAATGTGCAGCATATACCTTATCAATTTGTGCAATTGAGAACACAGGATCAACATAATCATAGTGGTTCAACTTTTCTACCTTGCACACCGCTAAGACGTGACTGCAAGGAAATCTTCTAGATGTGAACCGTCCACATTGACATTTGCGATTGAGCAAGTCCACCCTCATTATGTCACCTGCATCATGAGTTGATTGATTGTAGGCATCCTCAACTTCAAATAGTTGCAGGTCCCTATCAAAAACCCGCACACGGAGGCTCACTGTTAATTCATCATTTTTTTGGATGATATCCTCAACTTTTTTTGCAATTCTCCAACCCTTTGCCTTTGCCTTTTGGATCTTTTCACGTCTCTTGACGAAATACTCAACAAGTCTACTTTGAGTCATCTTCACCAATGCTGTTATAGGCAAATTACGTGCACCCCTCAGGACCTTATTCACACACTCAGATAAGTTAGTCGTCATGTGACCAAACCTCTGACCCTCCTCATCGTAAGACCTGCACCATTTTTCTTTGGGAATCTGATCTATCCATGAAGCTACTTGAGGGTTACTGTCGATAAATTCCTGGAATCTGATATCAAAATGAATCTTTGAACTCAAGTACCCTGAAATACAAAATGATGCGTTAGATACAAAAATATGAATTATATACAATTTGTACATATTAAAAAGAAGATTGTACCTAGCTTCATCAGGGTTTTCTTTAATTCCACATCTCTGAACTTAGTGTTAAAGTTGCTTCCGATGTGGCGTAGACAAAACACATGATACGCAAATGGTGGCTGCCAACCGGCATGATCTCTTACAGCCCTGATGATGCTGGGATGACGATCAGATATTAGACAAATGCCATGCTTATGCGTGACGTGAAAACGCATGAGGCTAAGAAACCACGACCAATCATCCAATCTCTCACCCGGAGGAACAATAGCAAAT